ATACCATCCCCGACATAGGACAAAGGTACCCCCAGCGTTTCAGGAGCTTATAAGGACCATATAGGGCTTGAGAAGGCCTAATAGGCTTCCTTTGGGGTGTTAGCATTGTAACGCTCACCTATAAGCTTGCAAGCTGAGAAGCATCATCATGGATGGATCCATGCCCATCATCTTCAGCATGGAAGGGTCCAGGCCCATTTGCTTCATCATTTTCTGGCGGAGAACTTCTTGAGGTCCCTAAACCCTAAACCTTAAACCTGTAGGATTCTTCTTTAGAAGGGTTGGCTCCGATTCGCCAATTACCAGGAACGGTGTGGGGATCAGTCCGTAGCACGGGAGCTTCTCTGAGACAACCACGGCAATTCAAGACCCAAAAGGCATGAATCCAAAGTAATGGAGTAAATGCTCATGGGACCTACACACATTGGTATGTGTTCGCGGGCTCCTAGACAAGCCCTCTGGCATTTTCTTGCAGTGAAGTAACGACTACGACATGAAGCCCGAACTGGAAAAGTTCCGTAGATGACTTCCTCTTTGCCTCCCTTTTACAGTAGGAACTGCATGCCCGAACTAAGGTGCTGCAAAGGACTCTGGCAGCAACCGATTAGGGTTCAGGATACTCCCTTTCAAACAATTTCAGCTTCTAGATCACACCCAGTGTAGCCCCCTCAAGGACTACATCTATTTCTAGAAATTCCTTCTCGGCGAAACCTGCAAGGGTCTTTTACCACACGTTTCTGTCTGAAACAGGGTCTGGCCAGGTTTGGGCTGCAGGCATAAATTCCCAAACAAAGGATAATGAACCATTCCTACTACTTGAGAGTCATGGGTACTCAGTAAGTAGGTTAATAACCCCCATAAACCATACAGTAACCATAGTTATCCCATGACTCGCCTACTTACTACGTCCCCTGATCCTCCACGTAAGCACCAGAAAGCACATTCAAACATTCAGATTAGGGGTCTCTGCGTTGGGCCCCTGATACAGCTCGAGCGGCCCTAGGCTTCTTCAAGCTACTACATTCTCATCCCAACCCGAACCAAAAGATCCTGAACAGAAACCCCATGCAAGATCGTCTGCCCGAAAACACGCACGGAACCATGGTAAAGGCCCTTCACCTTCTAATGAGGAATCTCCCCACGGATTCCCCCATCACACGGGAATTCAGTCGGAGTCTGAGCTTTTCCTTTCACCTCCTTAAACCCACAGCCCCAAACCACGAACCCAAATCTTGAATCCTGACCCAGAAACCCCGAATCCCAAAGCAAAGCCCACATCCGTAAGCCTAGAGACCCCTTGGCCAAACCTGCATAGATTTGGGATCCATGCCTCAGACGGCTTGATGCTGGGCTTCGTAGGGCTTCTGGCTTGGAGGGTTCACCGTTAGTTCAAAGCGTCGTGGTGGCTACAAGGAATTAAGACAAACCACCACCACCGCCATCCACCACCACCACCACTACCACCACCACCACCACCACCACCACCACCACCACTACCACCACCACCACCACCACCTCCTCCTCCTCCTCCGCA